AGAGGGATTGAGAAGAGAAGAGAGAGAGAGAGAGAGAGAGAGAGAGAGAGAGAGAGAGAGAGAGAGAGAGAGAGAGAGAGAGAGAGAGAGAGAGAGAGAGAGAGAGAGAGAGAGAGAGAGAGAGAGAGAGAGAGAGAGAGAGAGAGAGAGAGAGAGAGAGAGAGAGAGAGAGAGAGAGAAGAGAGAGAGAGAGAGAGAGAGAGAGAGAGAGAGAACGAGAGAGAGAGAGAACGAGAGAGAGAGGGAAAGAGAGAGAGAGAATAAGAGAGAGTGAGAGAGAAAATGAGAAAGAGAAAGAGAAAGAGAGAGAGAAAGCGAAAGAAAAAGAAAAAAAAGAGAATGAGATTGAAAAGGAAACAGAAACACAGAAAGACTTAGACTTCGAATATTAAGAAAACGCTTCAATGAAAATGAAGTATCTGATATTTTCTCAATCGGCATAATAACGATATGAATAAACTTTGATGTTAGTAAAATCTATTCATACATCGAGCGCCCATACACTCACACGCTCACAAATACAGACAAACCTAAGCATACATACACACAAACACAAGCATACACAGAAACATACACACAAACACAAACATACACAGAAACATACACGCAAACACAAACATACACAGAAACATACACAGAAACATAAACACAGAAACATACACACAAACATAAACACACATACATACACACAAACATACACACAAACATAAACAGACATTCATACACACGAACATGAAACAAACATACATACACACAAACATAAACACACACACATACACACAAACATAAATGCACATACATACACACAAACATAAACATCAACTCAAAAATAAACACACATACATACACACAAATATAAATACACATACGTACACACAAACATAAATGCACATACATACACACAAATATAAATACACGTACGTACACACAAACATGAGCACACATACATACACACAAACATAAACATACATATATACAAACATAAACACAAACATAAACACACATACAAACACACAAACATAAATACACATGCATACACACAAACATAAACACACATACATTCACAAAAATATAAACACACAAACATGCACACAGACATAAGCACTCATACATACACACACATAAAAACACACAGATATAAACACAAGTAAACACACAAGCATAAACACACATACACACACAAACATAAACACAAACAAACACAAACACATACGTAAACGCACACGCATACCCACAAACATAAATACACATACATACACACACAAACATAAACACACACACACACACACACACACACAAACATAAGCACATACGTAAACACACACATACCCGCAAATATAAACGCATACATACATATAAACACACATACATACATCTAAACATAAACACACATACCTAATATAAACATAAACACACATACATACATATAAACATAAACACACATACATACATATAAACATAAACACACATACATACATATAAACATAAACACATATACATACATATAAACATAGACACACATACATACATATAAACATAAACACACATACAGACTTAAACATAAACACACATACATACATATAAACATAAACGCACATACATACATATAAACATAAAAACACATACATATAAACATAAACACACATACCTAATATAAACATAAACACACATACATACATATAAACATGAACGCACATACATACATATAAACATAAACGCACATACATACATATAAACATAAACGCACATACATACATATAAACATAACCATACATACATACATATAAACATAAACACACATACAGACTTATAAACATAAACACACATACATACATATAAACATAAACACACATACATACATATAAACATAAACACACATACATACATATAAACATAAACACATATACATACATATAAACATAGACACACATACATACATATAAACATAAACACACATACAGACTTAAACATAAACACACATACATACATATAAACATAAACGCACATACATACATATAAACATAAAAACACATACATATAAACATAAACACACATACCTAATATAAACATAAACACACATACATACATATAAACATAAACGCACATACATACATATAAACATAAACGCACATACATACATATAAACATAAACGCACATACATACATATAAACATAACCATACATACATACATATAAACATAAACACACATACAGACTTAAACATAAACGCACATACATATATATAAACATAAACGCACATACGTACATATAAACATAAACACACATACATACATATAAACATAAACGCACATACATACATATAAACATAAACATACATACATTCATATAAACATAAACACACATACAGACTTAAACATAAACGCACATACATACATATAAACATAAACATACATACATACATATAAACATAAACGCACATACATACATATAAACATAAACATACATACATACATATAAACATAAACGCACATACATACATATAAACATAAACACACATACAGACTTAAACATAAACGCACATACATACATATAAACATAAACGCACATACGTACATATAAACATAAACACACATACATACATATAAACATAAACGCACATACATACATATAAACATAAACACACATACAGACTTAAACATACATATGTCCATAACATACATATACATTAATGTTTATTAATTAAGTTTAATTTTTTTTCCTCCGTTTTCTTTTTTTTTCTTATTCTTTTTTTGATTTGCGGATTTTCTTTCTTTTTCTCTTTTCCTTCCCTCTCCTTTATTTAATTTTTCTTCTTAATTTCTCTTTTCCTTCCCTCTCCTTTATTTAATTTTTCTTCTTTATTTCTCTTTTCCTTTTTCCTTCTTCCTTTTAATGCTTTCATATTTGTATCACAGTCCTTTCCTGATTCTGTTTTTCTCCCTTGCTTTATTATCATTATCATTTTGTATTTCCTTTCTTCGGGGAGATTATCAATCTTCTTCTTTCTTTTTTTTTTTTTTTTTTTTATCTTTTTTTTTTATATGTAAATCTGAACTTCCCTTTCTCTTCCTGCCTGACACTCCCCCCCCCCTTTTCGCTCCCCCCGTCACATCCTCTCTCTCTCTCTCTCTTTTTTATTTCTCTCTCTCTCTCTCTCTTTCTTTCTTTATTCTCTCTCTCTCTCTCTCTCTTATTCTCTTATTCTCTCTCTTTCTCTCTCTCTCATTCTCTCCCATCTCTTTCCCTTCTTCCCCTCAACCACCCCTTCAATTCCCTCTCTCCCCCCCCCCCTTCTGTCGCCGTCGTCGCCACCGCCACCACTAACCCTCCCTAACTCTCTCCTCACCCCCCCCCATCCCTCCCACTCCTCCTCCTTCCCCTTCCCTCCACCCTCCCACTCCTCCTCCTCCCCCTTCCCTCCACACCTCCCACTCCTCCTCCCTTCCCCTTCCCTCCACACCTCCCACTCCTCCTCCTTCCCTCCCTCCCTCCCTCCTCCCCCCCCCCACCCCCCTCTGTCGCCGCCGCCGCCGCCGCCGCCGCCGCCAGGGTCACCCCCGAGAGAGAAGCATCGCCTGAGGGATGGGTGGAGGACACTCTTCTGATTGCCCGGATTGTTACACTTCCGCTTTGAAGCATCCGGTAAAGATCAGGAAAGGGGGGGGGGAGGGGGGAAGGATGGGGGAGAGATGGGGGAGGGATGGGGGAGGGGATGGGGGAGGGGGATGGGAGGATGAGGGAGGATGGGGAGGGAGGAAGGTGGGAGGGAAGGGTGAATGGGAGGGGATGGGAGGGAGGATGGAGGGGGAGGGTGTGTGGAAGGGTGGGGTTGGGGGAAGGAGGGAGGGGGGTGAGAGGAAGTCAGGTGAGAGAGAGAGAGAGAGAGAAGGAAGGAACAGGAGGGGAGGAGAAGAGACGGAGAGGAGAGGGGAATGTGGCACGGATTTATAAAAGAGGGGGAGGAGGAGGAGGGGGGAGGGGGGAAGGGGTGGGGGGAAGGGGGATGGGGGAGGGGATGGGGGAGGGGGATGGGGAGGATGAGGGACGGAGGGGGAGGAAGGAAGGAAGGTGGAGGGAAGGGTGAATGGGAGGGGATGGGAGGGAGGATGGAGGGGGAGGGTGTGTGGAAGGGTGGGGGGGGTTGGGGGAGGGAGGGAGGGGGTGAGAGGAAGTCAGGTGAGAGAGAGAGAGAGAGAGAGAAGGAAGGAACAGGAGGGGAGGAGAAGAGACGGAGAGGAGAGGGGAATGTGGCACGGATTATAAAAGAGGGGGAGGAGGAGGAGGGGCGGAGAGGAAGAGGAAGAGGGGAGGTGGAAGAGGGGGAAGAAGGGGGGGGAGGGGAGGAATATCCGGCGAGATTTGATGGTTCGGGCGACCTCTTGGAAAAAAGGAAGGAAAAAAAGAAGAAAAAAAAAGAGGTAGATAGATGGATAAAGGTATAAAGAGCGGAAAACGGAGAGGGAGGAAGGACGGGAGGGAAGAAGGGAAGGAGAGAGAGAGAGAGAGAGAGAGAGAGAGAGAGAGAGAGAGAGAGAGAGAGAGAGAGAGAGAGAGAGAGAGAGAGAGAGAGAGAGAGAGACGGATAGACAGACAGACAGACAAATTAAGAAAAAAAAAAAAAACAGACACACAAACAAAGAGATCCGCAAAAAAAAACTCAAAACAAAAACCAACCAAACAAACAAACGACCACAAACTCAAAGAAGACGAACGGAAAACGGAAGAGAAGAGGAAGCGAGAATAAGAGACAGAAAGGTTGGCCGACGATGGGAAGCGACGCGAAAAAAGACAAAAAAAAAAAAAAAAAGTAAAACAAAAAAACAAGAAGAAGAAGAAAGAAAAATCATGAATGACAATGAGCATGAATGACCGAAGGAAATCATGAATGAAGGAGTAGATATTGATGACTCAAGAAGGGAAGCAAGGAGCTGTGACGTCACGAGGAGCCATAGCGCACGCGCAGGTGTTGCCAACCACGGCGCCCCGTTTTTGCCTCTTGC